TAATTAGACCTACATAGGGAATGAAATATCATTAAGAATGGGAAATTTAAGGTTGCATCATACAACGCCTAGATCTAACCACATAATCCTAAGTAAAATAATTCATCATCTCACCAACTACTCAACTAGTTCATCCCTATCAAATGATAATAACTTCAGCAGAATGACCCTGACAGAGAACAATAACGTTCATGGCAAAAGATTTTTTTGAAATAAAAAGTGAAGTATATATTAACATGGTACCAAAAAAATGGGTACCGCCCATTTACAAGAACTTTACAGTAGTGTTAACGTATCTATAGCATTTCTAAAATTCTCATCACTAATCATATCATGACCTACAAAATAGACCCAAAATAATGAATCTACCTATCCTTTTATCTTGTATGTCCTACTCTCAACATCCTCAAAAACTCTAATATTCCTCTCTTTCTATATAGTCCAGAAAACAGTCAAAGGAATTAGATTAACAATGTTGTCCTTTACATACAAACCACCCCAAGACCAAATTTCCTGTCTAACCGACCCAGCCATCACCCAATCAATCCCCAAGAGGCCATACACCATACACCATACACCATACACTATAAGCCATAGGACACCACAACAATAGATGATTGCACGTCTCTTCTGCTTGTAAACAACCATAGCACCCATTGACCAGAATCTGTCCTATTTTTCTGAGTTTGTCAATGGTTAGAATTTTCTCAAGAGATACCTCCCAAGCTAAGTAAGCAAAACGCGGTGGAGCCTTTGTTTTCCAGATTTGCACAGCCGGGATATCAGAACTACAATTCCTATCCCAATTACATAAGAATCTGTAATAAGAGGAAACAGTAAACTCCCGTCTCTTTTCCCATTTCCAGACTACCTGATCGCTGCAGGTTTCACCTGCTGCGCCTCAATACTCTTCAGAAGTTCTTCATATTCACAAATTTGCCAATCATTTAAATTCCTGGTAACCTCAATCTGCCAAACAATTTCTCCATTAGTGATTTTATAAGCTTCCTCAACAGTCATATTTTTTCTTTGAGCAATAGAGTAGATCCAGGGAAAACACCCCATAAGGTTCCCATCACCAATCCAAATATCCAACCAAAATTTAATCTTATTTCCTCTGCCCAGATTCCACTTTAGACAGTGCTGAAACTGTGACCACTGCATTAATATTTTCCTCCATAGCCCTCTTCCATGAGGAGTGCCAATCCTGCCATCTAGACTTTTTGTCATAGGATCACCCCATCTTGAACAAAGAATTTTCCTCTATAATCTATCCTCTTCCCCAAGGAATCTCCAAAGCCACTTCCCTTGGAGCGCTTCATTCATGACCATAGATCTAATTCCAAGTCCACCAACATCAACCGGTTTTTTAATGTCATCCCATTTTACCAAGTGAAACATGCGAGAATCATCAACATCCCCCCATAAAAATCTGTTTTGCAAAACTTCAAACCTCTTGGCAACACTAACTGGTATTGTAGTGGTCGATAGATAATAGATTGAAAGACTGGCCAAGGTGCTTTTCAATAGAAATATAGCTGTCCCCTTTTGGATAGGAAGTTTCTCTTCCACCCAGCAAGTCACCTTTCAAATAATTCAATCACCGGTTCCCAAGACATTTTATCCTTGTATTTTGCACCTAGCGGGACCCCAAGATATTTAAAACATTCATGGCAAATTCATCAAAGATTGTCAAATTTTTGTATAATGTTTAAGAATATTTTGGAATCTGTACTTTCCAGATTTCCATTCATATTTCTAATTTCAAATAAAAAATAAAAAAAGAAAAACTTGAAAACGTGACAGATTCTTCTTGAAATTCAGTTTAGGAGAAAATTGCAAGAGTTTAGACAAGGTCAATGGATGAAGGCACTGAATATACAATGGAAAGAATGCTGAAAGGACCAAAGTCCACACTTGATATTTCATTTGTTTTCCCAAAACACCAAGCTTTGGGAATGGAGTTAACAGAGGTGTTGAAAAACCCAAAAAGGCCTCAGTCTCACAACAGAAAACTTTTCTAATGACCATTTGATCATGAAGGTAGGTTGTAATCAGAGAGTGAGCATAGAAATGATACTTCTAATAACATTTGGTTTATTTATCATTCATTACTTCCTACTTCCAACTTCTGCAATCATCATCATTGCTCCAAACACGAGCAACGATCTCATAGCTAGTTCTAGACATATCACCTGCACTTTTCTTTAACCAAAATCCCTCTTTCCTATGCAAACTTTTATCTTTAATCAAAGTGATCGTTTTTACCTTATACAACACACAATTAAGTCACTAAACATTATATATGATTGCTTATCTTCCTTATATTTTCCCATCATGATGTTTTTCCGTTCAAGATCCATATCCTCAGCTTTTGGCAGCTCTTGAATATTTTCATTGAAGGATTACATTAGTTTTTTTTAGTATTAATGACAATAATGTTTTGAAAGTAATAGTAATAATAATAAGAGGAGAAAATATAAAATGAACCACATTTCCCAGCAATAACAATGAAGGTTTTTTTCTTCTGATCATCTTATAAGATATTTAATACCCACATTCAAAATTGAGGCAATTTATAAATTTTACTTGATCAGATATTGGTTATACAACAAATTTCCACATCAACCTCAATGACTATCTAATACTATCAAAGACTCCGATATCCACAACCTCGTACACCGTCCATTATCGATAATATGTCATTCTCAAAACCATAAAAAAGCAGAACAAACAAATTAAAATCGCCAAAACTTGAAGAGGCAAACAATTTAAAGCTGCAAAAATGTCATCAACAAATTACAAATTAAAATCCACATGCAAAAAAAAAAACTACCAGAGCCAAATGGATAAGAGGATACCTTGGGCACGAGAGGATGATGCTCCGATGCAAGATTGGTGAAAGAGAGAAGCGTGAGTATGTGGAAACTTTGGTTGCTCCAAGAAAAATATGAAGCGGGGCTGCGAATTGCAGTGATATCCAGTGGTACTTAACGGCAAGCTGGAGCTAGCTGATAATGGAGGTTGACCATGAGAAGGTGCTATTTCCTTGAATTCAAGAGCGTCGGAGGGAGGAGAAAGAGATGTTAGGTTTTGCGCGTTAGAGAAGAAAGAAAAAAACAAAGGGAACAAAGTCTACCTCCCACTGCTAAGCTAAGTGACGGAGGGATTTGGGCGAGGTGAGAATGGAGGATAATGGCGATGGGTCTAGGTTTTGGTAATGGGATGAAGAAGAGTGGGCTGAAATCCGTCGCCGTATAGTTTAACTCGGTGCTGTAACTTTAAACTATAAATCTGATGTATTTTTATAATTGAAATTAATTTTTTTAAATCTATATTTAGCTATAATTGAGCATATAATAAATTAATTTTTAATATTGCTAAAATTTTAATTAAAAAAATTAGAATCAATGCATATCTATAATTAATTAATTATGTGCTATATATACAAAATGAGATTTTAATTTACTTATTTTTTTTTATTACAAAAAAATATAAAAATTAAAAAAAACTAAAAAATCATCATGTACGTATTAAGAAACTCTCATAATATCATCGGCGATGAACTGCTGGAGATCTTCCGGCACTTAAGCATATAGGTAAATACTCATCTTATAAAAAAATCAGTATTCGCCAATCAATCAGCATTTTATTTCTTTCGTATTAAATATGTTAAATGTGGATCCGATAATTTATATTAATAAATGATTGATCGCACGGATAACGATAATATGTGCATTAACTCTATAATCTTCTTTAATGAGTAATTGCATCGTTAAAGAACTATTCACTTCAAGAATTATGTTACAATACACGATATTTTAAATGAGTTAGAGGTCATCGTAAACTCTTCAAAGTTCGACCTGCAGAACAGAACTGTTGCGCAAGGATAATACGCACAAATCAAGAAATGATCGAAATTTAATTTACCTACTTTAATAATACATATATATATATATATATATACAAAGAAAGAAAAACAGAAGAATAAATTAAAATCCTTTAGGCAGTATTATTAAGATATTTTAGCATAAACTTTACAGAATAATCTTTGAAAGAAAAAAAAAATCATCCCCTCTTTTTTTCCCTCACATCTTACAAGAACAACTACTCGAAGTAAGTTGGAAAAACAAAAAAATAAATAAAAAATAAAAAGCCGGAGAATCAAAATGAACTTAAGCCAAGAAGAAGAGAATCATGTGATGATCAACATTTGGGAAGATCATGCGGCGGAGGCAGTAGTTTCTGGCTGGGTTCTTTTCCATCTAAGACCACCCAAGCCATCTTCAGACCCCAACTAGTATGAACTTCCAAGTGACAATGCATGAACCATGCCCCTGTCAATACACAATAAGTTAGCAGAACTTGTAAATATTCCTCATATATATATTAATCTTATTTCTGTATTGTGTCAATTAATCTGTATTTTGTACCGACGAACCTGGATTGTCTGCCAAAAATCGAATTGCTACCCAACCACCAGGGGATACTGCTACGGTGTTTCTTTCAACTGGATCAACCAGGTTGAACTTTGCAGGGTCCTTATTTGGATCAAAATTCCCAAAACCTTGACCAACAACAAAGAAATTAAAACCATGGAGGTGAAGTGGGTGACTTTCTGCGCCAAGTATGCTTGTATCCTGCATTACTAGCTCCACACTAGTGTTAAAATCCAGTACCACCAACTTTGTTCCATTACTAACCATTGTGTTATTTGGTGGAGTCCCTGTATAATTAAATGGAATAATTGGGCTTATAGGAAAATTAGGAGTATAAACACCCTTTGATTGTCCAAAGAAATGAGCTTGAAGCAAAGCTGTTGTTGGCATTGCAAATGACACATTGTTAACTGAGGCGGCAAACATGGTTCCATTAGGTCCTTGGCAGGTGTTATTCTTCTTACAAGGATTAGTTCCTAGACCAACTGTGAAGAAAAATCGTCTATCGATTTTCTGGGGAACATTTGCTGGGAATTCCTTGTTTGCCAAGCTACGAAGTTTTTTAGTGAAATTCGTAGCGAAAGAGGTGTCGTTTAGAGGAGGAAGAATTGGTTTAAAGAGAGTTAGATCTTTTGAGTGAATTCCATTGAGTGGGAACCCATATTCCAGAATACCAGCAACTGTCGAATTATCAAATGTGCCTTGGCCTGTCACATATGGTCTAGCAGTCATTAAGAATGTAGCGTTTGGGAAGTGAGGTTTGGTATTGAGCAATACATTTGTGGTTTGTCCAGGTGAAATTAAAATGGTTTCGGTTTCAAATGGTTTGACATAAACAGCATCGACTTCAACAACTTTTAACGTGTGATTTGCTATGCTGAAGAAGAGTTCATCGTTGAGTGCTGCGTTGATTAAGCGAAGAAGGTATGTCTTACCAGGATTCACTTTCAGCTTGAATGTATCTGCAATTTTCCATTCACACAAGATTAGATCAAATTAAGAATTGGAGAATTTGTATCATTTATGATTTTGCTTCATTTGTAATTAAATCATACCTTTAGCAGAACAGTTATACAATGGTCCTGGTAGCCCATTGATGGTATAGGCATCAGATACATTTGGACCCCCACCTGTCTGGAGTGCCTGGTTAATAATTGCTTCAGTATCTTGATTGAACCACTCTCCTGCAAATCAGTTTTGATGTATGTTAGCTATTCATGTCCTCTATACATAAACTATACAGTCGTTGATAATTCGAGTTCTAGCTTTTTGAATACCAAAAATCATAGGAACTTCCTTGTGAGGTTTCGGAAATGGGTAAGGAACGCCGCGCTTGGGAAGAATAATCAAGGGACCATAAACAGTTGATCTTAGCCATGAAATGTGAGCATGCCAGAAAAGAGTTCCCCTTTGGCCAACAATAGTGTAGTTATACACATAGCTTTGCCCAGTTTGTATAGGACATTGAGTCACATAAGCTGGTCCATCAGCCCACCCTGATCGAAGCTGACGAATCCCATGCCTGTTTCAGAGAATTCATAAAAGGGATGTCCATATAAAACAGATAATCAATTCAAACAACAAGAAAAAGAATAGTTCCTAACCAATGTACATGATGTTAAGCATGGATACTTACCAGTGGATGGAGATATTATTTGGGACATGGTTAACAACTTTAATAAGTAGACGGTCACCCTCCCTTGCTACAATCCGAGGTCCTGGGAACTTGCCATTTACTGATACAAGGTTCTTTGTGTGGCAGAGACGCGTCACGTTTTGCAATTTGATCTACCATAAAAAAATTTGCAGCAATGTTTAAAAAAATTTACAAACTAAAGCAAACTGGTGATGAAATGTGACTGACACATACATCAAACTTATAATGCCTGGTGATCCCAACTGCAGACTGTGGAAGAAGACTGCATATGCTGATAAATGAGAGTAGAAAAGCTCCCATAAATGCTTTTGGCAGAAGAAGAAAAGCTCCCATTTTTCCTCAATGTTCTCTTTCTGATACTTAATTAACTACTTATCTTAATGTACATACACTGCAAAAGCTTACAATGTAATGGGTATATATATATACACAAGTGAATGAAGGGTGTATATGGTTTTGCTTGTATAATACATAGAGAGAAACATAGAATTGGTTCAATATAGCTACTGTGATTTTGACCTGTTTGGTAGTGTAGAACAACTTTTGAGTGATGCCAAAGATAATCAACTTTTAATTCCTTGATCCACTTTCTCTTCAATTCAAACTTTTTAGTCTTTTAATTTTTACACAGAACCCATTACAATAAACCTCGTTATAAACTAATTTAGCAATTGCAAACTTTGCTTTTATACTAATTATCTTTTAAAAAAAAGATAACAAGAAAAAAAATTTGTAATACTTTTAACATTTTATACGAGTATGAGTTCAAATTAAACTGTATATCTCGGTTTTATTCAAAAAATTATTGGTTTTACTATATTTACAGGCATTATATAATTAATAAAATATATATATTTTTACTTAACAATTCTTAATTAAGATGTAATTTTTTTTTTTTTTTGGGTATATAATATCCTGTAATTGGTTACAATGTCATTATTTACATAATTACCATTGGCAAAATTTCAAGCCAAAACTAGTTTACGAAAGCAACATATGGGTGTTGATATACAAAACTGAATATATATTTCTGTCAAATATTATTGCAGCATATATGATTTAGTTTGTTTGGGAATTGGGAGATTGTTGACTAAGCTATTGAAATTGCATTATGAAAAATAATAGTCTCAATCTTTATGGTTGAGTGATAAAGCTAGGAAACAAACATAGGTTCCCATCAGTCACTTTTGAAGTTAGATGTGGAAAGATATATGATATATTTCTATATATATGTATTACATAACCATACAATATAATATATCTATACATATATGTGTCCATGAAGAGAGGATAGCAGATTGTCAATGTTAACAGACCATAGTTTTACTCAACAAAGCAAATTTTTGCTCAAGCAGACAGAAAGAAATGTTTGTCAATCATACATACATACATACATGCACATAAGATAACCCACATACTTATATAAAGTATATCTCTTGTGTGTGTATGGATATATACAATGCAGGTTGATTATAGTGAAGGAAATGAGATCTGAATACTAAATTCACAGCCTTGTATATATATATATATATATGTATATACTTATAATATTTTAGTTGTACCTACTACTTATCTGAAAAACCCACTATAATTAAATAATAATAATAATGAAAACTAAAACCCTCCTCTCCTCCATCTTACCTTCCTTTTCCATATTTCTCCTGCCAAACTCATTCTTATGTTCCTCTTTGGAATAAGAGATTTATGAGTTTTTTGAAAGAGCAAAGTAACAAGGATGAGAGAGAGAGAAAAAAAAAAATAAAGGAGAGTTAGATTCTTATCTTTTTGAAAATTTGTTTCGAATATTAATTACTTCACCATCTATGATTACTAAACACGATAAAATAAGTTACGTTGGGAATAAATTTTTAAAAACCTAATTTTCTCGGTTGAGGATGAAGAAAAACTAAACTCACCTTAACCTGAATCAGATTTAATGTTAGTTTAATCTTATTGAGGTGATTGAGTATTCAGATTATATTCTAATTAGTTCTTATTCTGTAAGATTTTTAATTTTTTACCCGATTCAATTCTCTAAATTTTATCAGATTCAATTGAACTTGATACTTATTTACTCAAATTGAATCTAATAACTTACACGTGATTATTTCTAGGATAATTCTTTTATGAGTTTGGTAAAAGTTCGATATTCTCAAACCTTAATACCGAAATCAACATTTGAGTGGGTAAGAGAAGAAAAATAATTATATTCATTTAAAGTACTTCTCAACCAAATCATTATAACTATTTATAACGATTTGCAATCAAAGAAGTTTCGGAAAGTATTTACATCATTAAGACTTTTCGTATCATCACAAATCTTCCTTGACATCTCCTAATTATGTTGATTTGGTAAACTTACTTTGATTTATGTTGTTTCATATGAATAAATATATTTTTGTAATAGTTAATATGAGATATGCTGAAATTTCATCTAATTTTGTCATTTTACTAAAAAAAAAAAAAGTATTTTGTTAATTTTAGAAAATAAAACTATTTTTGTATATTATAATATGCCCCAATTACAAAATGCAATTTACGATTTACATACATATATATATATATATATATATGTACACTATACAAAGTGTTGTTTCCGGGCCGCTCATAACCGACCCGCTGAATAACCGACCCGCTGAATAATTAAAGTTTAAAAGAAAAGAAATTTTTTTTAAACCCTGGACCAGGAACTGCTTCCATTCGTGTCTTAAACCCCGCAGCTCTCCCGCTTCCCCTTCTGCTCTTTCTCTTTCGGAAGTATTTCCCCTCTACAAGCTCCTTCGTTTCAGGGTCTGCCATGGCCAAGGAGAAATTGAAGCCTTTATTGACATCTTTCACTCCCGACGGTGATATCCTCGCGATCTTTTCCCCAAATGGGACTGTCAAGGTACTCGTCTCTCCTTCTATATATATTTTCAATATGTATTTGTAATTGATTTATGTTACAAGAGTCGTCGATTTTTGTGTGGAAAACTTTCAGTTACTGTTCACAGATTACGTTGTAAATTTTTGAGTAGATATTAGTACTGATTACAATCGAGAAATAGCCTTTCAAGTGATGATGTCTGTGAAATTTGGTGCTTTTCTCTATTGGTGGTAACTAAAATGAGCCTTTGTTTTTGTTGGGATGTAGCTAATGCTCTAGTTGATGATTGTCAATCTGAAGCTTTTGCTGTACTTAAATTCAGCTGAAGTTAGGCCTTCTCTCTAAATATTTTTCCCTGGTTAAAGACATTTATTGAAGTTTTAATGGTATTTGAGATGAAAATTCAGCCAAATGAATTGCACGAGCAGTATGTTACGAAGGTTGTTTGGCAAAATTTGGCATTATCTGTTCCTGCCCCACTTCTATAAGGATTATACAGAAGCATCCATTGTGAGACTGCTTGGCAAAGCAAATGTACAAGTCCTCTTTGTCTGAGCAGCTTTATCCTTAGGGCATTTCAACCGCTCATTTTACATTAGATTTTCTTGATTCTGTTCATGGATTATTGTGGTCGAGTTATTTGAAATATATGAGGAGGATGGTACGCAAGGCTTTTTTGCCTCAGAGGCCACTTGTGCAAAATTCTCATTTTTGACAACTCCAGAAGAAGAGGCAGAATCACCAACAGTGGTTGCCTTGTGCATGCATGAGAGTGAATTATGTAATTTGGTGCTTAGACACTAGAAGGAAGGCGTTCGGGCCACTTTTTTCCTGAATTTATCATGAGTATCTAGTTGTTTAATGGCTGACGAATTTTGTGTGCGGAATGGCATGCTAGGAACAGGCCCCCTCGTTCCTATTGCCTTTTTTTTGAAGTTCCCTCATTCCTGTTGCTATTATTTGGGAAAATTGAAAATATAAAAGGAAAAAATTAGAGGTTTTGAAGCTTTAGCTCTCATCTTCCGATCATTATAGGTTAATGGTTCCAAAACTTGTGTATATTGTTTAATGGCCACCCTCCCAGCAGTGGAGATGATTTAGGAAAGCTTATAGATATTTTGTTTTCTCTTGGTAATATGTAAGCTTCTCTTGTATACAAGTGGTACTCCCTTGTGCCATGCTTATGGTAATTTTTCTTTCTTATCTGGAAATTTTCTGGATAATTCAACAGACTAAGGAGAAACAATTTGGATTGGTCGTCGAGATTTTAGATATAAATCTGACTAAGCTTTTGTTTACCCCCTTTTGGGCTGAAAGCTTTTTGACTGAGCTTTGTTATGCAGAAAATATATCTTAGTTAACAAATGTTATAGGATTGATGGTCGAGATTTTAGGTATAAATCTGACTGAGCTTTCTTTTACCCCCTTTGATCTAAAGGCTGAAAGCTTTTGACTGAGCTTTGTTATGCAGAAAAGATATCTTAGTTAACAAATGTCATAGATGACAGTGGCCTAGTGGTATATATTCACAAATACTGGTGTCGTGATAGTGAAAGACCATAACTTTGCTTCATGTTGTAAGACAAGACTTTATTTCTGTGATATTGGATCTATATTTTTAATTATGTGTCAATGGATGTTTGTTACCCTATAATACTATATACAAAAGAGTTATTGAGTCTCTAATATGTAGTTCTAACTAATGGAGAATTTATGTTGTAATTTAAAAGCAACACTTGGTGAAGGGATATCTGAAATCTGAAGGAAGAAAAAAAGCACTGGAACTTACATGATTCAATCATGCTATTGATTTTTTATTCTAACCCCAGGCCTTTCTCAATTAAACATAATACTATCACTTTCATAGTTCCATTATGAGTATTTGATGCTTTGCAGTACTGCTTTGACCATAAAGTAATGCTGCATTGCCACCTTCTCAGTAATAAATTACTGATGTATATTTAATTTGAAGAAAGTAATTGATCTCATGTTCTTTTCAACGATGTTTGTTTATTTACCTCTGTTCTTAATTTTTTTTCTCTTTCTTAATTATAGATCTGCAAGACAAGCAATGGAAATTTATTAGCAGAGTGGAAGTGGTCAGATGATGGTCTTATTGGTGCATTTTCATGCATGGCGTGTTGCTTTCTTGGGAAGAAGGTAACAGCATATCCATGATTAAGTCTTTCAGATGTTGATTTGTTCTCATTACTAACCTTATTCACTTTCACATGTGCTATCTCTAAATTATTAGAGGAAAAAGCAGCAAGGCACGTGCTTATTAGCTTTTGGGACAAGTAATGGGGACATCTGGACTGTTGATGCTTTAACTGGTGAAAGCAAGTGGAAATCCATGGAGTGCTGCCGTGAGTATGTGACTAAATTTACTAAGAAATCTTGTAGGCAAAGAGCATTTATTACCCTTCATGTTCATAAAGCCATATGCTAGTATTTATATATAACTTTATATTTGAGTTGATCCTAAGAGTGATAGATATAATACAAAATTTTTTATCCTCTTCAACTCTCTATTTTTATATTCTTGGGAACTTGTGTGGCGAATGAAATTATTATTCTTCTCAAAACAAGTCTGATATTTATGTCTTTTCTATACAAAGTTAAATGATTTTGTTTTGTCTTTTTGGAAAAAAGGGTCTGATAGATGTTGATACAAATCCCTTGTTTTGATGGATGAGTAATTCAGTTCATCTTAATCCGTACAGTGGATTTGCTGGTCTCACTTTTGTGAAGAAAGGTCATGATCTATGTGCTGTTGGAGTTAATGGGAAGGCATTTGTGATGGATTCAGAAACTGGAGAGCTAATAAAGAAGTTTAAAGCTTCAAAAGGGCCCATTTCTTCCTTAGCTTTTTCTTGTGGTGGGTTTTGTCCCTTTTTGTGCGCATCTACTCTGTTTTTCTTGTTTGACTCATTACCTCTCTACATGTTCCAGATGAGAAGTTTGTTGCCATAGCTGGTGGTAAAATGCGGATCATAGATTTGGAAAATGGAAAGGAACTTGTGAAATATTCAAATGATTTGGTGAGTTTGTATAATTCTCTGTAATTTCTTGTCAAACTCTTCCTATCTTTAAGAGTTTATTTCTCTCATATCTTTGCTCTTGCAGGGTCATTTGCAATACATATCCATATCTGATGATGCCAAGATGATTGTTACATCAGAAGCTGGGGAAAAAAATCTTCAAGTGTGGAGTTGTGATTTGAGCTCCAAGACTATTACTAAGGGTCCAGTTCTTAGCATGGCACGTTCTCCATTAGCATTGGAATGCAAAGTTTGTACCAATGAGCAGAATGGTCCAGTTGTCTTAGCACTTTCTAAATCTGGTGTAGCTTACATTTGGAATTTGAAGGTGACCTCACAGGAGGAGGTGACTCCAGCAAAGATCACAGTAAATTCTAACAAAACAGAATCAGATAATCAAAATAGTTCTAGTGGAAAGAAAAGTAGCACTTCTATTATGACTGCTAGATTACATGCCGTAGAAGAAAAACGGATAATAGCACTTGTTGCTTATGGTTCAACAGTATATCTACAAATCAGTATGGTCAATGTGAGCAATCCAGGGGATGACATTGTTATAACAGCTAGAGATGAGTCTGGAATTTACAAAGGAAATGGAATATCTGCAGGGGAAGGTGGGTTTTAAATGTTTATTTTAATTAATTTTCTTGTACTTTTTCTATCTGAAAGTTTCTCTTGATATTTTTAGTCTTATTTGCCTCTTTGCTGTTTCTTCCTCATTTTGTATTTGCTTTCTGTAGTTTATCTTTTTGCATCTTTGCTATCCCCGGTCTCATTTCTTGTAATAGTGAACATCTTGGATAATACCTTCCTTATGTGCATGTCTGGGTGTGATTGTTACTAGTTATCATTCCTAACCAAAAAGCTTTCATATGATTGTGATTTTAGGAATCTATTTCTATTGTTTTGCTATGGCATCATGATATTATCAGTTATTCTCAATGTAATAATAACAATCATAGTGGAACTAATTTTCCTCTCACATAAACGAATATATTTAATTTCTTAATATAACTAGCGAAAAGGTTCTTGCAGATCTGAATAATTCACTGCCGGAAACATTAGGTACTCCACCACAAAGCAGACGAACAAATAAGAAGCGAACTGCACCTGATCCTGATCTCCCAACTGCAATTGGAGTGGATGATGCTGGTAAAGTTTATCTATAGGTCCTTGTTTCTTTTTTCAACAAGCTCTCATTTCTGATTAGGTTGAATCTTAATCTGATTGATTGCCATGGAAGGTTATCTATGATAGTTGTTTTGTCACTACTAATTAAGGAATAAATCATAAAACTGCTCATGGAATAATGTCCAACCTGTTTTCCTGCCAATTCCCATGGAATAATGTTGCTTACTTTTCGCTTTATTCCGTCCTACCCAAAAGACAAAAAAATATTCTCTCTTTTCTGATTTTTTGATATAAAGTTTGCTCCTCAGCTAAGCAGCCAGCATTTTGGTTTAACAATTAAGAGCAGAAATACTGAAGCAGATAATGTGCTCCTCTCATTTCTGTCATAGAGTTCTCCTCTATGCAATTTCATTTGCAAATAATCTATTTACACAATCTATCATCGATTGGGTCTGTGTTGATTCCTAAAAATCATTGGATTTGGAGTTTCTTGATGTCACTGTTGTGAAACCATCTACTATTTTGGATTGTCCTACAGTTCTTTTAGTGGTGAAAAGCCATGATAAATCCAACCTGTTTTCCTGCCAATTCCCATGGAATAATGTTGCTTACTTTTCGCTTTATTCCGTCCTACCCAAAAGACAAAAAAATATTCTCTCTGTTCTGATTTTTTGATATAAAGTTTGCTCCTCAGCTAAGCAGCCAGCATTTTGGTTTAACAATTAAGAGCAGAAATACTGAAGCATATAATGTGCTCCTCTCATTTCTGTCATAGAGTTCTCCTCTATGCAATTTCATTTGCAAATAATCTATTTACACAATCTATCATTGATTGGGTCAGTGTCGATTCCTAAAAATCATTGGATTTGGAGTTTCTTGATGTCACTGTCTAATTGTATTTTAGAAACTATTCTTGGTTATCATGGTGTTCTAACAATAGTTGTGGTCTACTCTGTGGATGAGCAACAACTAGTCTTTGTATTTCCCTTTTTCCTATAAACTGAATAGGGAGCATTGTCTAGGTGTCATTTGGTTGGACTTCTTTTAGTGGGATTTGCAAGTTAAGAACTATTCAAACAAAGAATGTAATTTTTGTACTCAATTTAATAAAAAAAATTTACTACTTCTACCACAAATTTTATGCTTCAAAAGAAAAGATGTCAGCTATAACTGTAAGTAGTAGAAATGAGAAAGCTTCATAATTTATTTGAAACATTGTGTTACTGTTTATTTCTAGTCCATTAAGGTTTCTGTTATAAGAACTCTATTTGTGAGAACTTTCATCTGCTTTCTAAAGAGTTACAGAATGGCACTATTGGATATAGGTCATGGTGAGGATGTGGATGGGGTCCTCGTCAACAACAATGAAAATGAGCCAACCATGGGTGAGAAACTTGCAAGTGTAAAATTGTTAGAGAATGACAAGACTGAAAACCATGAAAAAGAAGATTCCTCTCCTCGTGCAAAGCCTCCCAGTGCAGACTCAGTTAATATTTTGCTTAAGCAAGCACTCCATGCTGATGACCGTGCACTTCTGTTGGATTGCTTGTACAACCAAGATCAAAAGGTGGTTTCCTGCTATAGATTATATTATGAAGTGCAAGACTAATTATCCATAAGCATTAACTTACATATGATTGTATCGTCATTTTCCAGGTTATTGCTAATTCAATCTCATTATTGAATTCTTCTGATGTTCTAAAGCTCTTGAACTCTCTTGTCTCAATAATTCAGTCAAGGTAATACATCATTTGGTTAATGAGTGTGTGCATATATGCATGCAACAAATCATTTATTTTCATTTGAATCAAAATGATATTAGTCCATCTCTTTTCTGCTTATTTTTTGTGTTGCTTGTCTCTATAGTTAGCATAGCTATTTATTTACACAATACAATTTAAAATTAAGGAAAAAGGCAGTAAGTAGATAATTGTTGGCGGTAAAGGTAATTTGTAGTTTATGAAACTACAGGAGCAGATGAACATCTTGTTGGGAGAAGCTCTCCTTATTTACTTTTTTATGAAATAATTTTAATAAAAAATAATTTTTTGCCTTTTTAACTGAGAAATAAAAAGCTGATTTGACCAAGATTTTAGGGGGAAAAAACCTATAATTAAACTTTAAAATAAATTTCACTAATTTTTTAGTCGGAGTAATAAGTTGTCTTTTTTTGTCCTGCTAAAAAATGTTGTCTTTTTTGTCATTTGAAATTTTTAGTTTCAAGGTCTAATATTTCCAAATACTTGACACTAGAGTTTTGAAGATCGGTGAAAAAGTCAAGTATCCAAACATTCTATAAGCTATGAGCCAAAATCCCTATGGACTTAAAAGTGCGAAAAAAAGAGAAAAAAATGTAACTCAAATAGTGTTGATATTTGCCAATGGTAGAGGTGTTGACTAGCTTGTGAAGTGTTCCTGTAGAATTTAGAGAGAAACTGAATTCTTGTATGTTGTGAATAAGAAATACATGGATTATATAGCTGTCACAAAGAGGAAAAAACTAGAAAAGTAATTACATCAAATCTCTGTATCCATGGGATTCTCTAACTGGTATCCTATATTTTTAGGAATATTAATTTCCTAATATTAGGACAGAAGATTGAGGGATTTTCCAATACTCTCCTGAACACCGCGCCCCCCCCCCCCCCCCCCCAACCAAAAAAAAAAAAGAAAAACAAAAAGCTGGTCAATATGCACATTTGATTCCCAGCTTGGAGATAAGCCATTCAAATATCACACCACTGAGTCACTTTGTTAGCACATCTGCAAGTTGATCATGTTTCAATTTGATGTCCCCAAATCTAACTTGTTGCTTTGGTCTGAGCTGTTAAAATGATTTTTTATGTTTCACTGCAGGGGTGCAGTCTTGGCATGTGCTCTTCCATGGATAAAAAGTTTACTACTTCAACATGCCAGTGGAATCATGTCCCAGGAATCATCTTTACTGGCACTGAACTCGGTCTATCAGGTTAGAAATTATGACTTGACATGTTTACACTAGTTGTGTGCAAATCAGTGATAATTATGATGCTCTCACTTCCCCTATTCCCATTCAAAATGAAATTTCCCATGCATATCTCTTCTATTTATCTCATTACTTTCATTAAGGAGATGTCATTTTGGTTTTCTTATAATGTCTCTTATTTAGGTCATAATTCCATCATATTTCTTCATAGAGTTTAATCATAACTAGGATAAGGGTAGCAAAAGAAATTAGCATCCTTCTGGCCTTGTGATGGGTTCTTTGGTTCATACCTTTCTTTTTTCTGTAAACGACTATTATACAAAGTTGGATGCTAGGTTCTTCCAAAAGCACATGTTCATCAGAAACGGCTCAAGTTAGATGTTCAGTCACATTTCTCCAGACAAAAAATAAACAAAGAAAATTTCAGTGACAGCTCGCAAGGTGGACTTGCTTGGCATGTAATATAAGTCTATTTAATTTCCCATGTGGTGACATGTTCATATGAGTCGGGTTTGATAACCCAAGTTCCACCATGCACTAAACTTCTATAGAAAAATCTTTAGAGGAGAGTCCTTTGTTACCATGAGCTAGGTTGGTGATTCTTTCTTGATCCTCCTCTTGTCTCATCCTCCACCTTTTAGCAAGGTTCAAAGGTAGGCACCTGTGCAACTTGGGATGCTCAAAATATAAGTACAAATCTAACTCTAACTAAAGAATACTAATAGAAAACTTATTTAACTTAAAAGAATTGAAACTCTAACTAATATTTTAATACTACTAAAATTATAATAATAAACTCCTAAGCGATACAAGAAATCTAGATTTTAAAGAAGTATAATTTATAAACTATCCAAAAATCTATGATAAATCCATTCTGCATCGCTATATGGCCACTTCTACTCTTTTTGTTATTAAGCACCATGCACCCTTAAGCAGGTATCATAAGGGGCATAATTTTGTTTTGTTTTTTCTTCTTCGTTTTATATGCAGCTAATTGAATCCAGAGTTGCAACTTTTCAATCAGCTCTAGAAATCTCTAGTTGCTTGGACTTACTTTATTCAGGGGTATGTTTCCTTGTAATGTATCTTTTATAGCAAGTGAGTTTGTACAGGTATAGTCTTGAAGTTTTTATATATGTTTTTTTTTTTTGCTGACAGATTGTGGGTGATGAGGTGGAAGAGAGTGACACTATCCCTGTGATATATGAGGACAAGGATGAAAGTGATGAAGAGGAATCTGAAGAAGCCATGGAAACTGATGATGATAGTAATGAAGAGGGAGCTTTTGATGGGGTTAGTGATTTTGAAGAAATTGATGACATGAGCGAATGACGGTTAAAATAAGGTTATTCTGGTTCAGTTTTTTGAGAATATGAACTGAAAGTTGTTTACACGATTCAACCACAATGGGAACATGTGCCAAGCTCAAGGAAGTCGAAAGCAGACTGACAATGGCTATAGCTAAGGTTGTGCACTGCCTAGCTTGAGTTTGCAACTGGTTGGAAATTGAGCTGTCGAGGCTAAAGCCTGTTATGAGAGTTTGAATAGTCCTGCCGTCCTCGGATACTTAGGCAACTAATCTATAATAGCGAAAGGGGTTAGCTTAATTAGTTACCATTCAATTCAATGTTTTCTCTTTATCAGAGTTTTTTTTTTTGTGGTTTGCTAGCAATATAGAGGTAGGACATTTAACTGAGGGAACCCAGATTGTTCAGGTCCAGCCAAAGAGATTAGTGGATTTTGTGGCTCCAAACTTGTGGGTAGCATTTATCATAGCGAAGAGGCAGGAACTAAATTGCCAAGGAACAGGGGTATGACTCAGATTCAAGTCATCAGTTTTATTATAGAACTGTCATTTTTTGTGTGAAATTATTATATCATTTGAATTGTATGCCTTTGGCTAGCATTATCTGGAATTTAGTTGCTAATTTTATTCAAGAATTTTGATGTTCAAAAGACATAACATATAAGATTATATCTAAGAAACGAAGTTAAGAATATGCACAGATTCTTCCATATAATAAACTTGTTACCAATTCAACGTTAACCCTACAAAGGCGCTATCAAAAGCCTCCTCATTGTAAGAGAACATCCAGGGAAAATTTATACTAATCTAATTGAATCAATTGAAAAGCCTTCGTATTCAACTTGAAATGTGTGTTTATGTAAATGGAAGTTGGAGAGGAGAGACAATCCACAGTCCCTCTGTGAGACCGTAGTACTCATAATCTTCTTCCTTGGTTAACTTTACCGGAAAGAAGTCATTCCCGAGATTAATAACTTGTAGGATCCTGGAGACGAGCATAGTTGTCTCTGTCTCTATTCTACGTAGTGAAAGTTGACCTTTTCCCAGCAATCTGATCACTAACATTCTGCTCCAAGGCTTCCATAGTTGAATTTTTTTTGTCTGCCGTCAAGCGAACTATTGGGTAGAATATCTTGCTCGTCTACCTCATCATCATCGACAGGAGGGGGCAGCTTACCAGTCTGAGATGTTTCTGTGGACATCTCAACGTCAACCAGCACTGTTATGAAGACAAGAGTTCATTTCCACGATGTTGCATGTGCCATGCATGTTAGAGTAGTCACGTAGACTGCTATTATTTTCTGGTTAAAGAGTGCTGATTGAGTCCTCTGAGTCTCTCTTCATCTTTCTGAGCATAGCTACCTGGATCAGGGCCATGGGGAATGGGGTCTGGAGGGTGGTCCAGCGGCCCTGGGTGGTCACTGGGGGCTATCGGAGATGACGCAGAGAGAAAGATGTCTTTTTCAGATAAATTAATACACTTAGATATAGGATATGTGATGGAATAAATGAACTTGTAGGAATTCAATTTAAACTATGAAATGATGAAGCATTTTGAAACAAATATTTCTCTCATTAGCTTTTAGCTTTAATTCTTAACATATATATATATATATTTTATTTTTACAATATAAAATACAGAACAAAATGAGAAAATTGATATACAATATCTAATTTATAAAACCGATCAGGCGTATATATATAAATATATATAGTTACCTACATATGTAGGTGGGTATTTCATGTGAATGGTAACCAACCATTAGGATCTGTCTGGTTGATTGAAATTAAGTTCTTGGCGAAGGTTAAGGCGAGAATCTCCATGTTGACCAAGCAAAATTTGTCAGACGATGATCTGAGTCTTAACCCTGCAAAAATGGTGGAATATGAGATGCCAAGTGTTGGATTATAAGTTTCATCCATTACCTATAAATACCATTCATGTCTCCTGGCTTTTCAATCAGCTTTCATTTCATTCACAATTCAAACTTATATATGCACACATTTATAATACCAAATTCTTCAAGTAGGTCAAGAAAATGGCAAGCCAACAATCCCACAACTTGGCAAACAAGGCTGGTGAAGCTGCTGGCCATCTTCAGGTCATCTCTTCTCTTTATTACACAATTGATATTTTATTTTTTATTAATAATAACACATGAGAACACGGATTTTCACTTGAACTTACAAATTCTTATAAAATAAGAAAATATCGACTATTTATCCGGAAAATGATTAAGCAACTAATGGATTAAACATATATAGATAATTAACCTAAATGGGTTTTATAATTTGCAGATGAAGAAGGAGGAGTGCCTGAACCAGACATCCCATGCCATGAACAGGGCAACTGAAAACCAGTCTGCTAACAACCCTAATTCTTATGCTTCCCAAGCTACCAACTTCCTTCAACAGGCAGCACTCAAATCTCTCTCTCTCTCTCTCTCTCTCTCTCTCTCTCTCTCTCTCTCTTATATATTCCCAACCAATATAATTTTATATTTAATTTATTATCATACACTAAATAGAGACTTAATAATTTTACTAAATAATCAAAACCCAAAACTTAAAATGAGAAAACAATAGGTTTGAACCAAATGAAACGTATAGTAATCGAAATTTACGTGTATGGATTTGCAGACAGGAGAGCAAGTGAAGAACATGGCACAAGGAGCAGCTGAGGCAGTGAAGAACACTCTTGGAATGAACAATGAAAACAATCCTTCCGGCCACAACGAAAACAATCCTTCCCCCCACAATTCAAACAATTCTTCCTCCCACAACTCAAATAATCCTTCCTCCCACAACTCAAACAATCCTTCCTCCCACAACTCAAAGAATCCTTCCTCCCACATTTCAAAGAACCCAAATCCATCTACCAGGATTTGAAGAAATCTACATCTCATATCATTCTATTGGGAGTTTATTTGATTTGATTCGATTTTTCTTTTCTGGTTTTCGTAATAAGAAGTTGTTGAGATGCATGTATTCTCTCTCTTCATCCCTCTCCTCCATGGAGATGTGGCTGTGTAATGTTTCTAATTAATATAATATCATAAGTTTTCTGATTTCATTCGTCTCCAAAGGGTAAATTGTTTTTTACTTGCTTATATTTATTAGTTGCAAATAAAAAAAACTACGTGAAATCCACAAAAAATAAAAATAAAAAGGTTAATTATGTTTGAAATTAATTTAAAATTTTTATAAAATATATTTGTAAATTTATATTTAGAAAACAACATAAATTTTCTGTAAAGTTATTGGCAAAAGATTTATTAAAAAGTTTATACATTTAATTAATTAAACATCAGACAGACCAGTATTTATATTCAGAACCGGGACAAGAAGCTCGTTGCCCATTTTGGCGGGCAGACGGCTGATCATGAGCGTCTTCTCCACCTCATCTTCTCCTACCTTGTCAAAGGTCTCAGTGATAAAGAAACGCCTTCTTGAAGGCTTCACCTCCTTCAAGCAGATCAAGCATGTCCATGCAATGCTTCTCCGTTTCGGCCTCGACCAAGACAACTACCTCCTCAACATGATCTTCAAGCACATTTTTCATTTCGGCAACACAGTGTACGCTTTCCTCCTCTTCTCTCAGATTAAAACTCCCAACATCTTTTTATGGAACACCTTGCTTCGCGGCTTCGTCTCTAACGATTGCTTTCATGAAGCTATTAACTCTTTTGTTTCTATGAGGAGGAATGGCTTTATGCCCGACAGTTTCACCTTCCCTTTCGTCCTAAAGGCTTGTGCGAGAGTTTCCCGTCTTGAACTGGGGCTGAAAGTTCATGCTCTTGTAGTCAAAGCGGGGTTTGATTACGATGTGTTTGCTAAGACCAGTTTGCTTTCTTTGTATGCTAAATGCGGGTGCTTGGATCATGCACTCAAGGTTTTCGACGATATTCCTGACAAAAATGTCGTTTCTTGGACCGCAATCATTTGTGGGTATATTGAGGCTGGGAAGTATAAGGAAGCTGTTGATGCTTTCCGTATGTTATTGAAAAGAGGTGTGAAGCCTGATAGTTTTACGATTGTTCGGGTTCTGTCTGCTTGTGCTCATTTAGGGGATTTGGAAAGTGGGGAGTGGGTAGATAGATACGTATCAGAGATTGGGATGGCGAGAAATGTTTTTGTGGCTACTGCTTTGGTGGATTTCTATGCCAAGTGTGGAAAAATGGAGAAAGCTCGAGTTGTGTTTGACTGGATGTCTGAGAAGGATGAAGTTTCTTGGAGTACTATGGTTCAGGGTTATGCATTTAATGGGTTGCCAAGAGAAGCTATAGACTTTTTTTTCCAGATGCTGAGAGAAAATCAAAAGCCTGATTGTTATTCAATTGTTGGGTTTCTCTCTGCTTGTGCCAGGCTTGGAGCTCTAGAATTAGGAGACTGGGCCAGCAGTTTGATGGACAGAAATGATTTCTTGTCTAATGCAGTTCTGGGAACTGCTTTGATCGACATGTATGCAAAATGCGGGAGCATGGCTCGAGCCTGGCAAATTTTTAGAGAGATGAAGGACAGAGACCGAGTGGTTTGGAATGCTGCAATTTCTGGGCTTGCCATGACAGGACACGTTAGACCTGCGTTTGCTCTTTTTGGCCAGGTGGAGAAATCAGGTATTCAACCTGATGGTAACACTTTTGTGGCTTTGCTTTGTGGGTGTACTCATGCCGGTCTGGTTGATGAAGGGCGTAGATATTTCAGTAGCATGAGACGTGTGTTTTCCTTGACTCCCACGATTGAGCATTATGGATGTATGGTGGATCTTCTTGGCCGTGCAGGTTTCTTGGATGAAGCTCATCAATTGATCAAAGATATGCCAATGGAGCCTAATGCCATTGTTTGGGGAGCTTTGTTGGGTGGATGTAGGCTACATAAGAATACTGAATTAGCAGAACATGTACTGAAGCAACTCATTGCATTTGAACCATGGAATTCTGGAAATTATGTTCTCTTATCAAATATATATTCAGCGAGTCACAAATGGGATGATGCTGCAAACATTAGACTGATCATGAAGGGAAGAGGGATCCAAAAAATTCGTGGATGCAGTTGGATTGAAGTAGAAGGAGTTGTTCATGAATTCCTTGTGGGTGACAAATCCCACCATTTAACAGAGCAAATATATGCAAAACTTGAGGAATTAGCAAAGGGCTTGAAAGCAGCTGGTTTTGTCCCTACAACGGATTATGTGCTGTTTGACATAGAAGAGGAGGAGAAGGAGCATATGCTTGGCTTCCACAGTGAAAAGCTGGCTATTGCATTTGGTCTAATCAGCACAGCTCCTACGAATGTGATTAGGGTAGTGAAAAACCTTCGTGTATGTGGTGATTGTCATGAGGCCATAAAGCTTATTTCCAATATTACTGGCAGAAAGATAATTGTCAGGGATAACAACCGATTTCATTGTTTTGTTGAGGGATCATGTTCATGCAAAGACTATTGGTGATATTATTATTTGAACTTTTTGGTTGGATAAAGCTTAAGCTGAAACGGAACCAAAAGGGTCATGTTCAGATTAATAAACCAACCACACTGACAGAACAAAGGTGATAAACAATGAGGCTTAGAGGCAATATGAGCTCTTTATATTATCTCATAGCATTGAGATTACAGGCTATGGCATAAAAATGGATTTTCAAGGATAACTTTATGCCCTTCCTCCTCAACATCCAAATCTGGGTCTTGCAAGTTTGTTACAAAAGATAAAATAAATTGCCAGATCCAAAGCCACAGCTTGGCTGAATTTAGGTATTCTTTTGTTATTGGGTTTTTCATCTCTAGATTTTTCAAATAGTCTTTTGTTTGTCCTTTTCCTACATTTTCCTGACTATAAATGCTTTGCTTGGACTTATAGAGGATGCCTCAATACAGATGAGAGGTACTTTTTTTTTTCCTGTCGAAATTCATACATTTCATAAAACAAACTCCTATGAAGACACAAGGAAACATATGACCCGACTCGAATCCACAACCAATAAGAGGTATTCTTTAGTCCCAGTCTTAGTCCTTCTGTATGCCTCATCCCTTCTATTGGCGTCTGATTCTTTTCCTTCTACTTTTTCTTTGGTTGCACAGATCTCGAACGTAGGACCTTAAATACAATTGGTCTGTAAGTCTCTTTCCTTCTCACCTTTTATTGGCATCTGACTTCTTTTTCTCTCCTAATATCTTTTTTTTTTTCTTTGGTTGCACAGGTCACAGAGTACAATGGGAATATAGTTCTTTCTGATTGTCAGTTTCCTTTCCTATGTTTCTTGTTATATGATCTAAACCATTGATTTTGTTTCTTTTTAAAAAACTTGTTATTGAGTTCTCTAGTTCTGTTTGTATACATTTCCTCTAAATCTATGACATAATGACATAACTTTGCCTTTTGCTTTTAAGAAAATGTATATCGACTCTTGGGCTTTTGTAATTTATGTTTCAGTTACTGGAACATGAATTAGCATTATCTATTGTGTATTTATGTTAGCAAACGATTTTGAATGACTTACAAGTATTTTGAGTTTTCATTTATTTTAGCAAATTCACGATTACAATGTGTTATCTAAAGAAATTTCTTACTATATGTTTAGCGATTTATTTAATCAGAATAAGAAAGCTTGATAGGATTGGCATGAATGGCTGGAAACGATGCTCTTTAGTGTTCTGTACAATGAACATAGTCAATGTTTTTCTTCTTTATACAAAAACTTCTTTTCAAAAAAGTTTATTTTATGTTCATTTTAAATGCTATTCTGCAGTTCCTGGAGATATTTCATTCTCTCCCCATGTATACTTACTTCCTGTTATGAATTTTTAGGTTTTAACCAAACT